TTGCCAAAGGCCTCCAGTAGGGGGTTGGCGCTGATGATTTGATCTTCAAGGGTCCCCTGCAAAGGCAAGAGCGGTCCTCACCTCTGGGGCTCCAGACTTCCCAAGAACCGTGAGAGTCTTGAGTCTGGCCCCAGACCCACCTGCATTTTGCCAGAGGTAGCTTCCTCCTTCTTCTTCTCCCCAGTGACTGCAATTGTTGCAAAGTACTGGATGACACGCTTGGTGTTCACGGTCTTCCCTGCACCAGATTCTCCGCTGTCGAGTCCACACAGAGGAAAAAGTCAGAATCTAACCACAACAATGATCAAAATTCAACAGAGAGAAAGGCATGAAATCTACATACGTAATCAGGATCGACTGGTTCTCACGATCTGTGAAAGAGAAATAGGAGATAATGTTGAAAAATATAGGTAGCACATAAGTTTTGTAAACTCAAAATTGTCTTTTAAAGCTCCCCATTCTCACACACACACACACACACACAGACACACAACTATATCACTTGTTACTTTGCTTTTTTCACAATATTCTTTTTAAAATAAGTAACAAAAGATGTGCTTAAAATTAGTCAGTGTGTTACACTCCTGTTACCTTTAGTGTGATAGAATATGTAATGAACGCACTATTTCAGTGTACTACCCTGGGAATAATTTATCAATGTCAGATGAATACTTGTTCCATGTTCCATTTAGTTACTTTGTTCATAGTTCAAAATCATGTTATTAATGTCCAATCCAAAGTTTTGTGTAGTAATTGGGATAACGTGTACTATGAGCTTTCAAGGCGTACTTTTTAGGAGAGGTGATGTATCAGCTGTAATTAAAATGAATAGTTCATTCCAAAATTTGGTTAATTTTGATCTGGAATTAGCATTAGTTTGGATTGTAGCATAGAAATCAAAGCAAAATTCTCTATGCTTTTGAATTGGTCCATTTTGTTCTTTTTTTAAAAGATTTTATTTATTTTAGAGAAAAAGCATGCATGGGGAGGTGGGAGGATCAGTAGGGGAGGGAGTGGGGGGGGGAGGAAAGAATCTCTAGAAGACTCTACACTGAGTGTGGAGCCTGACTCAGGCTTGATCCCAAGACCCTGAGTTCACAATCTGAGCGAAAACCAAGAGTCAGAGATGCCCAATGGACTGAGCCACGCAGGCACCCCTGGTCCCTTTTATTTTAAATATATTTCCCCGATTTTATTATGTTATACTCCTAATCATATTAGAATACTATTATTATGCTATTACTATTATTATGTTTGTGCTGAACATTTAATTCTCCAAGTACTGCCTCTGTGTCTTCTATGTCATCACTATACATGTCATTTATAAATGGCTCCACAAATTGTAATTACGGATTCACTCACCGGTCAGCATGAACTGATAGGCGTTGTCAGAGATGGAGAAGATGTGGGGCGGGGCCTCCTGGCGCTTCTTGCCTCGGTAGGCGGCCACCACCTCGGGGTTGTACACCGGCAGCCACTTGTAGGGGTTCACGGTGACGCAGAAGAGGCCCGAGTAGGTCTGAGAAAACCAGAAAATGTGACATGTGGATCTTGTCTTTACTCAGAGAGATGGACGGAATAGGGAGATGCTGAAGGGCGCTCACATAGATCATCCAGGCTGCGTAACGCTCTTTGAGGTTGTACAGCACTCCAGGCTCGTGCAGGTGGGTCATCATGGCCATGTCCTCGATCTTGTCATATTTCGGAGGGTTCATGGGGAAGACTTGGTCCTCCCTGACAGTTAGAGTCTGGCAAGTAAAGTGAGAGACCACTTTGTATTAATGGTGGGACGTAGGGTTGGTTTGTCTGTTTTGCTTATAAAACTATAATTACTGACACTTTTCATTTATTCAGTATTCTTTAAATCAAGGCATGAAATTATATTTGTTTCAGAGTCTGATGCTAAGAAAATCGGTCTCCTATGATGAACTAGGATACTCCCTTTTTTTAAAGATTTTTTTCTTCCCATATTGTCCTGTTCCCAGTTTTTATCAGTTTATATCTTTTTAACTCTTATTTTAGTAGGTTAAATTTTTTATTTTTCCTGGCCATTCATTACAAGAAGCTTCTGGGGGGAAGTAATGGGGATACTAATACATTATTTGGCTAAGTAAATAATAGTTTCTTGACAGGAGAAGCTGGCTTCTATTTCCCCCAAGTTTGGGGGTTTATAATGCGAAGTGGGGAGTTGAGGGATATGGTGGTGGCTGACTCTAGCGTGTTGAAGTCCTGTGGGTAGCCGGGAAGGGGGCACCCGAGGTGACTGCTGGGAACCTCCTTTGCCGTCCAAATCTGGCATCCATAATGGACCAGGAGGGTGTCTGTGGTGGCAGGAGGCTTAGAGCTTCACCTTGGATGAGGAAACTGAAGAAGACAACTGGGAGCGTTTTCTCCCCGTGTGTTTACTTACTGTTCCACCTTCTGTCTTCACAGTTACTTTCCCTCCTTCCTTGCTCTGTATGGTGCTCTTCACGTAGGAGGCCTTGGGCTCCGCAACAAAGACCGATGTTTTAGCATCGAAGGGCTTGTTTTGGGCCTCGATCCGCTCCTTTTCCGATTTTCGGAGGAAGGGAGCGGCTTTGCCAAAAACTGCCATCTCAGTGTCCGAACTCGCACTCATGGCTACAGTTTATTTAGCAGAGGATTCTGCCTTGGGGAAGAAATGGGGCAGAGGGAGAAAAAGCAACCAGAAGTTATACCTTTGAGCTAGGATGTGGCATGAAAGAAGTGTTGTGCCCGCATCGCTTGGGCTGTCTGCTCCCCCAGGCTGCCCTTGACCCATGTTCTCACACAGGCCAAAGGACTGGGCGGGCATGAGGTTGTGACTGGAGGCTTCATTCTTAGTACTTTGCAGATTTCCTTCTGGGACACATACCTTGATCCTCAGGGCCAGAGTGCCTTCAGTGGAACCCTTGCATGTTTGAATCTCTACACTGTTAACAATATCTACAGCTGGAGGATTGTTCTCTAGCAGCTGTCTTTCTTTAATCCCTACTTTTCTTTCTGCATGATGTTTGCATCTGCCATATACCAGGATAGTCACATCGTTAGGAGAGAAGATTTGTCTTGTGCAAAAGCAAGGTTGGTATTTTCAGTGCTTTCAAAGACTTGCTTTACCTTTTTAGGTGGCCATTTTTTTTTTCTCTCTTAAGGCTTGTGTTATTTTTTTTAGAGATTTATTTATTGGGGGTGGGGAGCAGAGGGAGAGAGAGGATCTCAAGCAGAATCCCTGCCGAGCAACAGAGCCTGGTGAGGGGCTTGATCTCACGACCCTGAGATCATGACCTGAGCCGAAGTCAAGAGTCGGATGCTTAATGGACTGAGCCACCCAGGTGCCCCAAGGCTTGTGTTATTTTTAATATCTACTTTATGTTAATATTTAGTGTTAAATCTCTCAGTGGGTTGTTAAAAGAACCTCATAATAAATTCTTAATACCGTATGGTTTTGTCATTTGGCTTGTTACCAAGAGACTTAGCATTGCCTTAATTCCAAAATCTCTTTTGACACTTTCTTTTTTTGCATGAGAGATTTCAACTGCCAGTTAACAGATCTAACCACAGAGAAATGAGAGCTTCAGCATGAAGAAGGCCCTTCTTCCCACATACATTCCCCAGGCTTCTCTTCTTTCCATCAATAAAAAGAGACAGAAATGTAAGGGTTCAGCACATGTAAGCCATTGTCCTCTAATTGATAGATATGCCTCTGCAGGGTTGGCCTGTTAGATTGGTTGAGTCTTTCCTTTCAGGTGTAAATTAGTTGGGGAAGGGCCAGGACCTCTTCTAAATTAGGCACGGTATTTAGCACTCTGTGGGTGTACCACCGGGGACTTTTTAGAAGAGCAATAATCAATCTTTCTAAAAACAAGTAACAATGAATCATCAAAAGTAGTTAAAACATGGTTGTCACAAGTTGTTTGTCTTTTCATTTTTTGGTAAGGATTTTTCTGGGGTGTTTAAAAAATATTTGTAAGATGTCTAAGGGTCAGTGCTTTGCAGGAAAGGGAGTTTGGCATGGAATAGTCTGTTGCCCCTGGTCTGTCAGAATTCCTTCTGTCCCAAATGGTCCTTCAACCCTGGAACTCAGGTGAGGGGAGTGCAGAGGAGAAGGCTTTTTGGGAGCAGCATTTTCCCAGCATTTATAAGCAGTCATTTGGAAGCACCGCCTGCTTAGGTAAGAGCAGGAACATGGAAATGGTGTACAATTAAGATTTGTTCCCAGCTTCGTTAGCCTGAATGCCCTGTGTCGTCAGCATGCCCAGAAACCTGAGGCTTACCTTGGGAGTTCCAGATGAATCGCAGGTTCAGAAGTGGCTGACACTGTGAAAAATAAGGTCTCTTATTAGCAAAGTTCTGACATGCCAGCAAAAACAGTTACAGAATTATAATTGCCCGGCTCTAAAGCTCAGCTTTGTGAAAATAAAAATCAGACTGGGGAGGGACAGTTTCAAGCTCAGAGGTGGGCCATGGGATCAGCTCTTCCTGTCCCTGGGGGTCCTTCAAGCCCCAAGGCCCCCATCACTCACCTCTGGGTTCTTGGTGGAGATATACGGCAGGCGGGGTCCCCGTGCTTATATGGGCACTAGCGTGCTGACGCTGCTGCTCTCTCCGCTTTGTTAGGGCAGGACATTTGGCAACATGACCCTCGGCATAATTTGTACTGACATTTGGCATGTTTGGATATAATTAGAAGTATTCATATCATTTTGAGTATGTGGACCAATCTCCTATAAATAATTTGACAGGGACCAATCTGCCGGCAGAGAATGCTTTCTAGTACGCTGGGAAGGTGATATCTGCCTGGTGGGGCCTCAAAGTCCATTCCCACGAGCTGTATTCGATTTGGCGAACTCTTCTACACATACCTGTGGTAACCCAGTGATCCGGTTCTCAGCGACACATTGCTGTCAGGGCCTTCTCCGCTTTTCCTTACTTGTTACCACAGGAGCCCTCCACTTCATCCCCCTGGGTCACTGCCAAGGCTCACCCTTGGAGTCTGGGCTTGGGCAGCAGGGCCAAGGTGAGAGGAGAATCTCCGCTGAGCCTCCACCATTGGCCAGTGCCCACCCCCTCAAGACTGAAAAGCATTATTATTTCAGTACAAAACAGTGTGTATTCATCGTAGGAAAAAAAACCACAGATAAGCAGAAGAAATGTCCATAATCCCAACATGCAGAGATAAAATAAAGATGTGTAAGTGGGATCATACTCTATATGTGTATATAGTACGTATACAATCTACTTAAAAAGTTATATTGTAGGTAATTTTCATATCAGTGATCTAGTTTGCATCCTTATTCTTTAAACAGATTATATTATGATCATTCTGTTTAAATTAAAATCTTTCCTTTTTTTTTTTAAAAGGTCCAGTACATTGGGGTTTAATTTATATGCAGCAAAATTCATTCTTTAGCTGGCAGTTGTATGAGATTTTTTTGCTGCTATTTAAAACATTTTTGACCTTGATGGTAAAATTCCCTTTCTCTGTTGCATGGTTCTAGTTTTTGCACATGAACGGATTCTTGTAGTCACTGTCACAGACAGGACACAGAACAGTTCCATTTCTATGAGTTTTAATAAATGTGTCATTGTGTAATCTCTTATATTCAAATTACATGAAAAATTAAAGCCTTGGAGATGAGGCTAAAATTCCCTTTTGATGAACTCACAATGGAGGTAGCTCCCTTCTCTCCAGAGGTAACCACTTACACCAGTTTGGTGTGTAATATTCCAGACCTTTTCTGTGAACTTAACTAAGTTATATTTGGAAAAATATAAATTAATGAAACTGGCCTAAGAAGATTGAACCATAGAAAATACATAATGAGATGTTTAAAATATGTTAGAGATAGTATCATGCTTTACATATTTACCAACTTGTTTTTTTTCATTCTGTATTCTTAGATCATTTTCCATGTTAGTACATAAAGTAAGCAAAAATTTAAAACAAATAGAGAAAGTAGTATATGAACCCATTGCAGTCATCATCCAGCATTAGTAATTATCAGTTCATGGTCAGTCTTGTTTTGTATATATCCCAACCTACTACTCTGTCCCTGGATTATTTTGATATCACTCATTTGAAATTTGCTATGTAGAATTCTCTTTGTTCTAGATTATAATCATTTCTTTTTTGTACAAATTCCAGAAGGTTTCTCCTTGTCTAATAGTGATCTTAACTTTGTTTTGGCATCTCAGTCTTATGGAAGTTTTAAATTTTTTTTT